TTAAAACTATGTGGTTAGGCTACTGTATGGGTGCACTACTAAAACCAATTATAATGACATCTAAAGCGACAATCACTTTCCTGTGTACTTTATCTTGTAAATAACACTTTTGCGATTGACATGTACTTTGCGATTGACATGATTGGAACCTTACCAAATTCATTTCAAGCACCCCTTTTACCCTTTCCATCAGCCGGCTCTTCTCTAATGAGTAATAAAGATCCTTGATGTCCATTGACAACACATCTCCTTCCTTTCCATGATGATCATCGAGTATTGTGATCAACTCACTCGAATTTCTCAGTGACAAAGACTTATCTAGAATTGCATGTTTTAAACCTTTTTGAAGAAACACGGAGACTACCTTCTGCCAAGTCCCATTCTCATTGATCACTACTCTAAGTGGCATCTCCGGTTTATGATCCTTAAGGAAGAATTTTACGCTCAACGCTGAGTTCGACAAATTTAACATAGTCTTTGCTATATCTTCAAATTCGTCTTCCTCTAAAATGGAAACTATATTTTTCTTTAACTTTCCGATGTTTTCACTCCATTCATGAAACAAGGCCGGGCGACTGTAGCCTAGTGTGCTAACGCGCCATCTTGCAGAGCGTGCGGTCGTTGGTTCGATTCCCGAAAACACTCTTTTCTCATGTTTTTTAGTAAAATTCGCAAACAAATGTACAGGAGAACCGAAGCAAAGGCCAAAAAATAGAACTATTGTAATTCCATTTTATCACAAAATTTCTCACAACTTAAAGGCTTGTGCCAAGAAGTTCAATGTAGATCTGGTTTTTAGTTCGGATTATAAGTTGAGCAAGCTCACACCTTTCCACAAAAGTGTAAGGGAATGCGCAAAAACACATCGAGAAAAGTCTATTCCGTGTGGTAATGGAGTGGTATATGAAATCCCCCTGGAATGTGGCTTTAAATATGTGGGGCAGACGTCAAGGTGTATAAATGACAGATTGACTGAACACAAAAGGAATGTCAAAAACAACGTTGCCAATTCGGAAATAGCGAAACATGTTCAAGAATGTAATAATTGTATACCCCACTGGTCTGAAACAGAGATAATACACAGGGAGTTAAACGACATCAAAAGGGTTGTAAAAGAAACAATAAGAATGAAATCAATGGGCAACTGCATTAGTCAGGTGTCGTTACAGCTTAGCAGCAGCGCAAAATCATTCTTGCGGATTTGAAAGTTTTGTGAAGTGCTTGTTGAATGTGAAGGTGTAAGTGGTTTCTTCCTTTGTGTATCACGTGGATTGATATCTTCTGTTACCAGGATGCTTTGTGATTATGGGTCGGAGAGTAGAGGGAGAGAGTGTACTGTGTCCGCGAAGGATTCACAAGTGTCTTCCGGATGAGGGGAGCTATTGTTCATTGCTTTGTGGAAAACGTCAAGGTCGTTTGACAATTGTGGTGGAAAGATGTGAGACCTTTGTTATCTTTTGGCTTTCGAGATCGGGAAGGTGCTGTGGTGAAGTTTGTGGAGTGTATATAAGAAGGTGACCAAATAAACTTGTCTTTAGCTGTGTTAGAGACGTGTCCTCGACTGTTCATTTTTCTTCTACTTCGAAACTTTCCTCTTTTCCTGCCTCAGTCTCGGGCTAAGAACAAAATGGTTAACATCCACCAGCTCGCCTGCGCAATCACTACATTATCACGCTCTTCTACTAAGCACACTCAGTCTGTGTAGCTTTTCTATCTGATCGTTTTTTCTGTACCACGTATTTTTAAAGTTTAATGTCACGGTTTGAGCGGAGAACGTAACGTGGCTTTTCGAAGCTACTGGAGAATCCAGTGTATGTCTGTTATCTGTTTCAACGGTCGTTTACTTACAAAAGCAAGCCGGGTCTTCCTGACAGAATAAAGTGCTCCTCGCCGACATTTACGATTCTGCCCCATACCATGATTAGTTTAAGAAATAATCCAAATCCGAAAGCCCCGTTTCCATACCCCTGCCGCAAACCCCCGCGTTTTGTCACACATCTTCAAGATCCCCGGCTTTTAAAAACCAACGCCCGCTTAACAATTTTCCAAGCTTCTCCCCTTATATTGCTATCAACGCGTTTCTTCCTACGCATTGTATACATGATTAAGCAAGGGATGGAGTTGACAACGCGACCACAATTACTACTTTTGTGTACTTGTTTATCGAATGCGCTCTCGTGGCCCGAAGTCGTTATAGAGCGGAAGGTAAATACACTGCCAAAATAGTCTGTACATCTGTAACAAATAATTACTAATAATAAACAGAAACAAAGAAGCAGGTCACGGGCCACCGCAAAAACGTCACTGATGGCATTTATAATAAAGTTAGGTAATTGATATTAGCAACCAACCAGATGAGGTGGTTTTATCCGTGGACTGAGCAAGGTAGGAAAGATTAACTCGTATTTCAAATTAATGCTGGTGATTGGTTCCGGACACTTCATCGAACGCCGTCTCATCGAAGCCATTTAATCGAACGTTATTGAATCAAACGCCATTTGATCAAAGCCGTTTATTCGAATGCTTTAAAATAGTATTTGGAGATCGTTTCTCGTTTTTGGAAATAGTTCCTTTTGCATCGAAGGACAACTATATTCTATGCCATATTTTCAATTAAATGTCAGGACCAAGAAAAGAACTGCTTTTCTCCGGCAATATAATGGTAGTCGCATGAGGACAAACACGCGTACACTATGCAGTGCTGACTACCCCGCGACAACCAGAAAGTTTCTGGCTCAGTGACTTGGTGTGCGCCGCCTATTTGTGTCACACTTGTGCTACTAAGCTTGTCTAAAATAGGGAACACCCAAAATCACAATTGTTTTAAAGATGCCATTTACGCACGAGAAAACCAGAAAGTTTTAGATGAGGCGATGAAAGGGATAAAAAAAGGGTACAAATATTTTCGGACATTTCATTATGCACGTAGTTCGTAGCTCAGGCTCAAATCAATCACGATTTGCACAAGAAGCTGTCTGGTTTTCGAAGCTTTCTCCCAAGCCTCCCCGTTATTTACAGACTTGGGCTTGAAACATTGAACCCGAACACAAGAAAGAACGCAGTGGCGACTCCTCTCCCCCCCTTCCCCCTCGAGCGCCTTGATACCATGAGACATCGGAAGTGACTCAGTGCTGGGAAAAGTGACACGTGGCATTCGGATTTGGTGCAGCGATGCGCGCCAAGGAGCGAGAAGTCATATGAAACCCTCACAGCAGTGCATCTGCTAGAACAGCTTGTAGCGTTTCCATCAAGCCCCACCCCAGCGACCCGAAGGAATTCCGCAAGCAGGCTCTAAAGCGACCCATTGTGCGTTTCGAAAACCTTGAACGGGCAATAACGTTATCACAGAGTTCCTGGTATACTGAACAAAGAAGAATGATAAGTGCACCCTCCCCCCCCCCCCCCCCCCCTTCCTCGCTTTCAGCATGAATCACACACACCCCGTTCCAGTATTGCTTCTTTCTTTTTTTTTTTTTTTAATTCAATATTTCCAAGCGCGGGAGGCATGGGGTAGTCAGGGGTAGTGCGAGAGCGCCCTGTTTCAACGACTGCTCTTGTGAAAGATTGCATAACTTTTGTTTTTATATATTATTATGAAGCCGCCAGTCGCTGCAGTTATGGCTTAAAGGAGCAATGCAACCATTTTTGTACTTTGCGCAAATACCGCTTAAAACGAATCCCTAACGTTAATGACCTATGAAACACGCGTTCGTTCTTCACCCCACGCAATAGAAGTCCCAGAAAAAAATTTAAGAAAAACGAGCAGCGTTCACCCCCTCAACTCGCAGCCAGAACAAGCGGCCACGTGATCTGGAGCCGATTATATGCCGCCAGTGTTGATCATATCCACGCGCTGGGGTTGGCAAAGCGCACAACACGCGCTGAGTTCCAGACATTGTTATGGCTCGGCTATTGTCGTCGTTGCAGCGATTGGACACGGGCCATTACCCGAATGCTTCTCGAGCAAGCAATTATCACGAGCCCAAGTCGAGTGCCCACGCAATGCTCGGGTCCAATCTATGAACCGCATTCAAATATCGTCACTTGGGTGTACTGAGATACCCACGTTACGTCATCAAATTTTGCAAAGGAGAGATTGAATGAAAATGATCGCTTTTGTCCTTGAAATTACACCGCAACAAAAGAGTTTCTTGGACAGTGGCGTTGCGTGTGAGTATCCTTGAGTCCCAGGTGTGCCAGTAAGCTCGTGTAGAGTGAAAAACATTCCAATTGAATATCGTTGCACCGCTCCTTTAAAGAAGTCATGAAACGCTTTTTCAACTTTTTTCTGTTTAGCTTTCCTCCTCAACTCATAAATCGCGCATTGTACCAAACAGTTCAAGAAGTCGGAAAGGGGGGAGTCCCCTCTTGCTCGGAATCTCCCTTGTGTAGCCCGGACACAGCCATTGTCCCCCTAGAAGATTAGCCCGTCGCTCAAAATTCCGCTTTCCTCACCCCGTTCACCCCGAAGCTGACAGTGCTGTGGAAGCTACGTGCTCGTTGGGCCAGCCACACATTTTCCACGTGATCACGCTCTCTCGCGCATACCGACCCGCAGAGAATGAGGTCAGGTGATGAAAGGGAGGCGGCTGATTGGTCCGGCAAGCGCGTAGCTTCCACCGCAATGTCAGCTTAGGGGTAAAGGGATTAAGTGAGGTCCGGTGTCGTGTGACGTGCGCTTGGGCCCTGGTGACGCGCTGCGGGGGCCCGGAGGGGTATCCACACGAAGGAGAAATCCGCTCCTTTCCTCCGCGGAGCGCGCATCACGTGAGACATACGTCACCCCTTTTTGACGCCTCGTGGCGCCGTTCTCTCGTTCTCCTCCTTGGGAGAAAACCGGATACGTCACAGAAAAGCGAGGAGGAAAAGTCACGAGGGTGAGGAGGCGGCGCGGGAAGATCGGGAATATCCGGGCGAGCATTCGCACGACGGGGTGAGCCCGTCAGCCGCAGCGAAGAGAAAGACCGTCGCGCCCCCTACGTTCAAGCGAGGGTATTGCCGTTCGCTTTGCTCCGGTCGCCGGTTCGTGAGTATTCAAACATGGCCGCCTCGAAGCGTAAGTTGATCGGCATGGCCCTGCTAATCGATGAAAGTCTAGACTGTGATCACGCGCCCGCAAAACAACCGAGACCCTGGGCAAGAGAATGGCTCTTGCGAAAGGAAAGGGCTATTCAGAACACGCTACTGCCCGACCTTCGCCTAACTGATCCCAAGGCGTACCGAGAGCTCTTGCGGATGGATGAGGGCACGTTCGAAGAGCTTCTGGGCCTCGTAAGGCCATTAATTCAAAAAGAAGATACCAACATGAGGGAGTCGATCAAGCCCGACACCAGACTGGAACTCACATTGAGATTCTTAGCCACAGGTGGGTTCAGCTTTCTTCATTACGACATCCATGCAGAACGAGCACATTTGCGTCGCGTTTTAATGAAGAATTTCTTTTGACGCTGCTTTATGAACTTCCAATCATAATGATAGTGAAGTGTGTGTGTACCCAGTTGGGAAGCGCGTCGCTTGAAACAAAGCCTTAATCGAAGAGTAGAGTAGCAGGGGAAAGGATTTCAACCCTCAAATAAAGCCGAGTGCAGCAGTGCGTGAAATGTGCTTTCGCAACACGGTCGAGCATGTGCATACTACCTGAATCGAAACTGTAGCGATATAAAATGTCCTCGCTACGCGTCGATAACTTTGGGGGCTGGCATATCAGCATATCAAAATTTGTATAGCTCATTTTATCGATGCTAAATGATTTGACCCAATTCACAGTTGTTGGTTGTCATCTATTTGATTTTTCATGCTTTTTTATTTATCGATTACTTTGTATCTGGAATTTGACTAGAGCAGCTGGATGGCAAAATTTTAAATTTTATCCCCCCCCCCCCCCCCCCCCCTCTCCGATGTTTCAAGTCTAAACATATGTGCACTTACTTTCCAGGAGAGAGCCAGAAAAGCCTGGCTTACCAGTTCAGACTTGGCCACGGTACCGTGCACGCAATACTGTGGGAGACGTGCGCAGCAATATGCACCACCCTGGGCCACCTAGTCCACACACCTGCCACCGAGGAAGAGTGGTTGGCCAAGGCCGAAGACTTCAAGATGATCTGGCAGTTCCCCAATTGCGTCGCTGCCATTGATGGCAAACATGTCCAGATCGTTAAACCTGCGAGGTCTGGTAGTCTCTACTACAATTATAAAAAGACATTTAGTCTTGTGCTGTTCGCACTCACGGATGCAAGATACAACTTCATCTACGTTGACGCCAGTTCTTATGGCTCCGCAAGCGATGGTGGAGTTTGGGCAAGGACTCCCCTGGGCAAACAGGTGGCTAGAGGCAATGCACACCTGCCGAGAACAGTGGCTCTGCCGAACTCGCCGCTTCAGCTGCCGGCGGTGATTGTAGGAGACGATGCCTTTCCACTGGCTGAGCACCTTATGAAGCCGCATTCAAAAAGCAACCTAACGGACGAAGAGGCCACCTTCAATGAACGCCTCTCAAGATCTCGGAGGGTGGTAGAAAACAGCTTCGGCCAGCTGGCCAACAGGTTTCGTGTGTATCATACTACCATCTACGCCGAGCCTGACCATGTGAGAGACCTGATCAAGGCGACGTGCATTCTGCACAACCTCCTCAAGCGTGGTTCGAGCCCCCCACTGCCGGCCACTTCTGACAAACCGAAAACAACAAGCAAGTTGCTGCCTCTAGGGGCATGTGGTGCCCGGTATGGTGCAACTGCAGCATTCATCCGGAACGAGTTGACTAATTATTTTTCCACTGTAGGAGCTTTGCCATAGAATTCTGGGAGGTGAGGCCCAGAAGCAGACTAAAATTGAAAAAAAAAGTTGTTTCTGTTACCCCAACTCTAGGAAATAGATTTGGTTTGGGTATCTTGGGGGGGGGGGGGGGGGGGGGAGCTTGGGTTATCCTAGTTCGGGTCACCGGTCTACCGTTCACCTGAGACCGACATATGTAGGTCGCTTGACAATGCTACAATTCAATTCAGCAATAAACAAAAAAGAGATTTCTTTTTCATACATTCAAAGTTTGGTTGTTCCCTCGGGTTAGAAGAGCAACACAATAATGGATGTTTTACAGTGTTTTGGTGTGTTTAACTGTGCAGCCGACAATTTGTGATGGCATAGGTAATTTCATATTTTAGCAGATTCAACATTATTTGGAAGGAACAAATTTTATACAATGAAATATTTTTTTACATTAACAACAGCATTTACTTGGGTGGCATCTCTGTGTTCTCCAGAGTGGTAGCGTACTCAAGCATCAAAACTTGAAACCAGCTTTGTCTTTCAGCTGGCTGACGCCTGAGGCGGCTAGCGATGAGTCTGCCGAAAATGGCGCACTCGTCATCCTCCGTGGGTACTGTCAAGGCGGCAGCAATGTTGTTGAGGGCGGCCAGCCTGCCCTCACAGCTGTCGTCGCTGCCCTTCTTCGGCTTTTTCTTTTTCGGCAGCTGTGGCTCGCGCTGTGGCTCTGGCTGCGGGTCGTCCTCCAAGTTGTCCGGCTCAGACGGACTGTCGACTGGAGCCTCCCCGTCAACCACAGAAAACGCCAGGTCTTCCTCACGAAGCTCCTGAACACACACAAAAAAAAAAAAAAATGCAATTACCGCTACCCATAAGCACATCTCCAAGGCAACCGACAATACGTGTGAAGATGTAGTACAGCACATCGTCGATGCTGGTCACCAAGTTTGTTATGAGTTTTTTTTACGTCCACTGACGAAACGACTTTGCAATTGATGGTATTTGATTGCTTCTGATGCTTAGTATGCTAGGTAAAACTTGAAACCACCGTTGGAAAGCTAGAAGTGAACACAGTTTTACTGATTCCCAGCACCACACAAATTGAAATCAGCACTCGTTTCCATTCTACGAATTCAATTTCACGTATTGCAATTTATTGTGCATTAATATAGGCACAATCACACAATCACATAGAAACCGTCTCTAGGGAAGTGACAATGAACCTTTTTCAAGAAGCGTCCCATGCATGCGCGAGCTGGGGAAGCACGTGCCCAGGGGCAATGCACCAGATTAGGGCTGCAAGCGACTCCTGTTTCGACATGTTAGACCCTCGGTCGGTACATCTTAAACTTCGGGGCGTTTTGCCTCTGGGTGATTGGTCAAAAACCAAGCACCAGCTGTTTGTGTTTCAATCTGCACATTTGTGGGAAGTTGGAAAACGCAAACAGACTGAATGTCAATAAGTATATCTGCCTAAGAGCCCCACTATAAAATGTTCTGTCCGGCGAATTTTCATAACATTAATGGAGACATACTAAATTTGAGTTTTAAAGGAGTCAACCAAAGGGCCCTTCAACGAACAGGATTTTAACGAGTTGACCGGAATCCGGAGTACATATAGCATTAAAAATTATTCATATGAAAGTTGGATTGTACCTCTTCTACTCCCAGTACGTGTCCTTGGGGTGGTGGCGGACACTTTTGCTCAAGAAAAGAGAGCGCGCTAAAAAACTTCCATTTTCCAACGTAGGTGGGAGCAGCTTGACCACTTCTGACGAAGGTCTTCTTTTTTTTTTCGTCCTGGTACTGACGTCTTTTGTTGTTGAACTGTCTTTTTATTTCATCTGAAAGGAGAAAAACAAACTAGTACAGTAAGCTAGAAACGGTAATGTCTCAGAAATCATTTGAAAAAAAAACTGGACTCCGCTGCACCAGATGCATGCTCTCAAGATGGGACTGATAGTTGATTATAATTTAAGTTCATTCATGCCGAAACGGTCGCACTGTCAACATGAGTGGGTGACTTCCAAAGTAATCAGCGTGTGTATTAGTAACATATACCCACGTTGTAACCTTTGGTCCTTTACACCGATTCGAAGATCTAAAGGACTTGGTCAGAAGTTGGTAGCCCACGCGAGCGTGGACACCTGCGAGCGACGCAGGAGTAGAGTCTTCGAAGCCGTACTACGAGGGCTCGCTCTCGTAGTACGGCTGCGGGAACGCTAGTCCTGCGTCACTCGCACCTCGATAACAAACGCCGACGGTGACAGGATCCTCGTACGGAGGCGAGCCGTTCCGGAGACTAGAGGGGTTTGCTCCAAACTTTTGAGAAATACTACAAAAAGAAACGCGCACTGACGGCTCGAGCAATAGCGGGCTGTTACGGATGAGCGAGCTGTATTGAAGCAATAGAATATTGCCGCTGTACACGGCCGATACATTTTAATTAAAACTAATGCATATTCAAAGAGCGACAGCCGCGATGTTCGTGCGAGAACGAGCGTTTGCACGTGGTTCTATTCTACGTACCTGGTTTCAGGGCATTCAGGTTCGGAAACCTTTCCTGCAGCCGTCTGCATATTTCCTTCCAAATACGGTCTTTGTTGTGGACGTTCTTATACCCCTCATGGTCGATTTTCCACAAGCATTCGTTCTCTTCAACCATCAAAAATAACGTAAAAAATGCCTCCTCGGAGAGCGCGATGTCGGCAACTTGACCGTTGGTCGCCATCTTTCTCCGCACTCCGTACGACGGGGCCAACGGGGCTTCTGTCACTCGCTGACAGCCTCTCCGGGGCGATCGCGGCAGCGCCGCGGAGGCAGGCAGCGCGTCACGTAGAACACGTGACCTCAAATTCTGATGACGTGTACGCTTCGCCGCGGGTATTTCGCGAGCAAATCTCCGTCGTGTGAGTACACCATAATTCCGCAAGTGCGCGCGGCGGAGCCGGGGACGGAGTTTCCCGGGTTGCTGACGTCACGACATCCGTCCGCGGAGTTCTCCTTCGTGTGGATACCCCTTTATGGTGGTTAGTAGCCCGGTGACGCGCTGCGGGGTCCGCGGATGTATCACAGTGAAAAGGCGGAGAGTTTACGAAGGGAAGGAGGTACGAAATAGTCCGCTATGTTTTGCAAATTTTTGTAGCGAAAGTCAGGCTTCTGACTTTCTGCCTTTGTTCTTTTGGCCCACTGAACGATGTGCTATTAGTAAAATCCCAATATAAATTGATTTACTCCAGCCCAAAATTCGTTTCATGGGTCCTTTAAATCTCTGATGAGCCCGGATACTTGGCGTTTTACAAATTTAGAAAAATACAAGGACAGTCAAATGGCTCTGTCTTTATTCGCAAGGTTGTTGGATTCTTCAGACTGGGGATCCGAACAATTCAGTGTAGGAAGTTGCGGTGTAGGTCGTTTCGGTGCCGACATTTCGGAGCACGGACTTTTCGGTGCAGAGACTTTTTGCTGCATGGATATTTTTGTGTAAATACACGTTTGGAAGTTCGAATAGCTGAGCTTTCCAGCAGGCATTGCGGACGGCTAGCGGACATTTCATCGAACACCGTTTCATCGAATGAATGGACATTTCATCGAACGCCATTTCATCGAACGCCGTTTCATCGAATTGCTTAGGGCCGTTTCATCGAATTTCTCTGTATCGAGTTTTGAGGCATAACAGTGCTTTGTAGATGTTTTACCTTACATTTGTTAAGACTAAGGTAGTTAAGAAACAGTCTTTAGGGTGGAGCCAAATTACTAGAAATAAAAACCATTGGTATAAAAACAAATGGGTATGCGACTTACTGAAAAGTTTTACTCATGTGCCTGTCAGAAAACATGATACTGGAGGTAAAGGACCGACACTTAAAACACTTTTGAATGTCTGTCGTTTTTTTTTACCGGCTGTCCGGGGGTTTCGGTAATGTGCCATTCACACCAGCTCATTTGCACACTTACGCTTAGTGGAAGGTTTATTCACGAAAAGCATTTAACTGCCAGGGCAGCACGCTTATAATAAAACGATGCTCTGTCAGGAGAGCACACGAAATAAAATACAATAATACTCTGATTATCAGGTTTTTGCTCAGATTGCACGTTTCTGCTTTTTTTTTTTTAGTTTTCAAACTCTACAGAGTCAAAAGCTGCACAAAGTGTCAGCCAACATGGTTTCGGGCTACACCTGGACTGGAACCACCTCCCCTTCACTGTCAACTTTATTACCGACGCTTTTGCCTATTATGAATCATCTTCAGGAGGCTTTCTTAGGAAGGCCAACCCGCACCAGACAATAGTAAAGCACTGGGTGTACTCTGTCACCCTTTCGGATCCTCACATAACCCAAGGTTACAGGTACACGCTGTCAAACAATAAAACACTACCCGCTTCCCAGAATCTCGTCTAGGCATACACCTAGAGGAGATTCCTTATTGGGCAGGAGATCGAACTATAGGGGGCGCTCTGACCCGTTTGTTTTCCCCACGCTTGGTGTTTACTCAACACAAGGCCTGTGCACATGCCGACAGGCCTTATGGGCATGGCCATGTCATCTTCTACAATAGAGCGCGGGGCGCAGTTTAAAGGGACCATGAAATGACCTTTTTACTTTTTCCAGATAACGTTTACATTAAACCGTCAATGTTCACTGAATGCCGAACAGGCATCCGTTTTCGTCTCGGTTTATTAACTTTTACACAAAAAATCATTGAAATATCGACTTTTTCATTCTCTCCAACTGACCGCAAAGGAAGCCGTGACGTAGACCGTTTCCGGAACCGGAAGTTCTCTCGGCAGTAGGAGGATGGGAGTGTTAGCGGCAACGAGTTGGGGTGCGCCGGTAGGTTTTACTGCGCTGATGTCACCGACGTATTTCCTGAATCGGCGCCTCTCATCGCCGCATCGCAGCTGAGCGAAATTCAATGAGATATGTTGCGCTACAGCGACAGCATGGGACTAGTCCCATACGCCGGTATGCCTGTTGGGAAGTGCAGCGAGTCTTGTCAACCACCCCGTCATTGTTGGCAGAAGGGCCGGCCCGTGTCAGTCGTTTGCAAAGCGACGTAGATGGCGTTTTTCGCGGCCTCAGAGATGCAGGAGCGAGCCGACGTTAAAAAAGATACGTTTGAA